GAAAGTGGGTGATGGGCATTGAGGAGGGCACCTGTTGGGATAAGTACTGGGTGTTATATGTAAGCCAGTTTGACAATAAATTGTATTTAAAAAAAAAAAAAGATACAGCCAGATATATCTTCCTGACTTAGAACTCTTCCCTTGCAATTCTCAGATACCTTCAAGGACTCCTCACAACTTACAGATAAAATCTATATCCTTGAACTACATTTAGGGTCCTTTATTCCATAGCCTCAGTCTACCTTCCTCCCCTTCTTCTCCATGACTCCCCACCACCAATTCTGTGTCCCCAGCCCAGTGCTGTGGTTCCTCTTATATAACCCAGGGAGTCAGAAGGTCTCAGTTCCTCAAGTGTTCATGAAATCCCTACTGTGTGTGCAGCCTCGGAAGCCCTGGAGAATCAAAAAGTTAGGTGGAAAGCAAAGGACTGCATAACAACAGTAAACATTTGGAGAGACTATTTAGTTAACTGTTTCACACATTTTAAGTGGTATGGAAAACTGAAGGAAGGGCAAAATCTGGAAGGGCTGAACAGTTGCCTGGGAAGGCATCTTAGGGGAGAAAGGACCAAAACTGGGCAGGAAAGTAAAGCTCCATAGGTGTAGCAAAAGCCAGCATAGAGGGTTTCTAGCTAAGAGAAGCAACATGGCATCAAGGAGGGCACAGGGACTTCAAAGTCAGACCTGAGTTTAAGTCTTAGGACCACTGCCTTGGCTCTCTTCTTTAATCTCTGAGCCACAGTCTCTTTTCTATAAAATGGGAAACATGGCGACAATATGCGTCTCATATGTTGTTGTAACTCAATGCACTGACCAGTGGAAGGTGCCCATCAGTGACACCTCATTTGGCTTTTCCGTGAGTGAAGATGGAGAAGTTGGAGTGAGCACAGTGTAAGCACTTGTCTTAACAGAAGTTGTGTCGTGGGGGGAAGCAGTGCGAGACCTATTTGTACTTGCTGACTGAGGCCAGATAATAGAAAATTAAACTGAGTTTAGTTTAGACTGATTATTGGTTTAGACTGATACAGTAAAAAAAACCCAAAAAACAGGGACTATTGGGGTGACATGGTTAAAATAATCCTTAAGGGAGGCAGTCTTTCTTTGTTCTATCTTCTAGAATCACATCCGCTCTTATTGCCCAAGAGACCATTCTAGTCTTCTGCAATATATCACTCATATCCCTGAATATAGGACAAACTTTTTTTTTAAATGGGAAATAATTTTATTCAGTACAGATGATAAAATTCAAATGTGAAACTAAAGATTTCTGGAGCTCCGCATTACAAATTAGTATGTTCAGAAATGTTTAAAAAGATAAGAATGATTTTTAAACATACTGATAGTCTAAAGTTTACCATTTCTGGTCTGCATGATCACATCAAATAGCGGGTTCCATTGAATGGATTCTCTCGGCTCACAGAGCAATGTCTGTTTACAAAATTCAGAGAGACATTCTCTTGTTCTTTGGATGGTGGTATTATTGTACAAATACAGTGACCACCTTAGCAAAAAGTAAAATTCTTGCCAACTGTTCTCAGGTTTGTTTGTACTCATAATTTGCCCACTAAGTACATTACTGGTAGATTAGTTGATGGGTTTCGTACTAACTTGATTTCCTTTCTCTTCATTAAAAAAGAATTCACAATTCCTTCTTAATTGTGAATAGAAACATTAAGATAGAAGGCATTGATTCTCTGATGAGAAATAGAGGAAATGCAGAAGGGGAAGCACAGATTTCCTGAAACCGACCTATTTGTCAGGCTCAGTGAATAATGGCATCATTGATACTGACTGAGAGCTCTCAAGGCAGCTCTCAGAACTTAGGTTGAGGAGAGGGGAGGAGGGGAGGAGGAGTGAGGAGGAGGGGAGGGAGAGAGGAAAAGACCAGAAGCACTGGGTTTGAGAGAACGACCAGAGGCAGGGGCGTTAAGTCTCATGTGGTATGTCAGATTGTTCTGTTTTACTATTTGTTAAAAGTGACAGCAACACCCTTCACTCTCAGGCTTTGCGGCGTAGAAATGCACAAGTATGTAGTGTGTCTAATGGCCATGGCAGCCGGCCATTGCAGTGCTAGAAGGAAGAATGTGGGCTCCTGTCCCCCCCCCCCCCCAGACTGCCCAGGTTCCAATCCTGGCCTCACTGCCTTCGACCTATAAGGCCCGGTGAGCCACTGAATCTCACTGCACTCGTGTTAAATGAGGACAATAATCATTCCCATCTCATAGGGTTGATTTGAGGACCAAATGACCTGTTTGTGGAAAGTACTGAAGCCAGTGCTTGGCACATAGGGAGAAAGCTTCACTTAATGTTATGGTCTTCATCGTGGTCACATGGTGGTGAAGTCGTGAGAGGATAATAGCATCAGCCACCGTGAAGAAAATCGTTGTACTACAAGGTTGACCAGACCTGGTTTTGCCACAACCGCTCACTTTGGGGGATCTGTTTTTCCTCATCTGGGGAAGGAGGAGATGGGGCCAGAATCTCAGGCCCTCTGGCTCTCCTGATAAAACAGCCAAGATCAGACATTTTGTGTAGTCACTTTTAGCTGTCCCAGTGGACTTTTCGAGAGCAAGTCAAAGACTTCGTTTGTGTAGTTTGCATGCACATTGAATCGAGCTTTGGATTTTTACGGTACCTTTGTATTATTTATTATAACTTTTTGGGGTAGGTAGGCATAATAATGCTTGTGTGGCAGATTATTCTGAGTCTTTGACAACACCCTTGTGCCAGAACTAAGAAAAAGCAAAACAAAAACGAGTAATCTTCAGAATTAGGCCCCCAAACCTTGGTATATTTCTACATAACACCTTCTCTACTCTTCTTAACCTTATATATATACATGCATAAAACCACATTTAAGGACTATAAAGTTGTAGTGAATACAGACGGGTAATCAGCCTTTGTAAAATGTTTAAATCACTACTGTTTAGCATAATTAAAGGCCCTGCGACAATGAATGCATCCAT